AGCAGCAATGCCTCAATGGTGTCTGAAACACTCACAGTGACATGCAGATGCCTCTGCTACCCAAAGGTGCCAGGAAGATCCTCATGGCATGAGGACATGCTTTGGTGTCATCTACCTCCATAGCTGAGACATGAACCCATTGCTTCTGATGCCTTATCCCTAGCTTGCTGGTTTACTTGTGTGGCCAATTCTTCAGGTGTAGAAAGACCTGCCTCACACTTTATCTGTCTCTCTGGTTGAGGCTGGTGAGTGGCTGGTCCAGGACCAAACTCCCCTTTCCTTCCTTTGGTCATAAAATAGCCAATTGAGGACAAACCTTTATGAATCTGCTGCCAACAGAAGGGTGCCAGGCTTGGGTGTATATGCCAGTGCACATGTAACAGGTTTCTTGACTGCATGCTGCACCAGTGATTTTCCAGTAACTAAATAGAACCCAGGCAGAATTGGCATGTCCCTGATTCTGACTGTCTTGTTTTCTCACTCCATTTGGGCACACTTGCCTTGTTTTGTCAGGAACTGCCAAACATCAACAAAAGAGCTGAGAACTTCATCCCAACTGAACTCTGTAGAAGAGCACGTCAGGCTGCTGAGCAAGGTCCCTCCCTTCAGTACATCTGCATTAGCAGAGAAGAAAAAAAGGGCAGCTACCTGAAAATAAAATGATATTGGTGTTGCTGTTTTCATCAGAGATTAATGAATGTTTTAAATCTTTGGTTCACTTGGTGATTCTCAGAGAAAACATAGGAAAAGCAACTATATTGCCTGCATAAGTGTTTCTAAATGCTGTTTGTAGTCCCTGGGCACAGACTGGCACAGAAACAGTGGGAAGTGGATGGTAATGGCTGTGGCTATGAATGGATAAGTGAAGGTATGGAGGCAGAGAAGGAATGTAAATTAGAGCTGATTTCTTCGTGCCACTTTGCCTGCAGTTATGCATCTAATGAAGGAGTCCCAGCATTTAATGGGTCTTGTAGTCCTGGGAGAATCACACTAAGTAATGGACTGGTTTTCTTACTAAAGGTAGTATGAAGACTAGGCATTGTCCAGGCATAGCATCTTTGCAGGCTATGTCCCTTCAAAGAAATGCAATAGAATAGCATCAGATTTCCAGGCTTTTAAGTTTGGAGATACCACCTGCTACTTCAGTGTATGAAAAGGCATGGAAATGTACTCAAAATCAATGGGGAGGGAGGAATAACCTTGAAATGACACCACAAGGTAGGCATGATACAAGCTGTCAGGTGGGAAACAGTGGGAATAATGGCTGCTTGCTGCAGGTCAGTGTCATGGCAGAGAGCAAGTGACAGAGATGCAGCAGCAAGAGGTGAGGTCAGGTCACATAGATGTGAAGGTAAAACAGCATTGTCCAGGAGGCAGGATGGATGGAAGGAGCAGCAATGACAAGATGAATTAAGCATTGAGTGGGCAGAGGCTGTTGGGACTGCTTGGCCACAGGCATGCTGTAAGCAGAGTATGAAATGCTGGTGCATTGCATGGAGATGGGTGCTCCCTCCTTCCTGCTCTTCAGGCTGGCCACAAGGAGCTTATGGCCCCCAAGGACTATGGATGCAGATTGGGAAGGATGTGATCAAGAGAAGCACAGTAATGTTGGATGAGTCGCCCAGCCTCAATGCTGGGATATGAAAGCCTATATTCAGTTGAAAATTGACCGGCACTGAACAGTTATATCACCATGAGGGAGTTCAGATTTCACATGTAAGAGGGATGAAGGCAGACAGAGCTTCACCCCCTCCTACAATGAACCCAGCTGGCTGTAGGGCAGCAGGCTGCCATGGCCAGAGGCTCAGGATTCAAACTCCACTTTTGCAATTCAGCTTTGCAAGTGCTTATGTTCTTGGTTATAACTGACTGAGGTGGATGGAAACTTGGTGGTAGCCCTGGGCTTGGCTGCAGGGTGTCATTGAAGGAGCAGAAGAGCTGGTGACAAGGGACAAGTCCTATGGTTGGCACTGGGACAGAAGGCCTCTAAGCCTGACCCAGCCACCCGAAAGCCCCACTTTACAAAGGAGACAGATAATTCACAATAAATCCTGACATTTTAGCTACACGTTTCACCTGACATTATTTCATCCTATCTCATGTCACTTGATCCACCTTCTAAATCCCAACTTCAATATGCAGTTACCTAAAAAAAGAAACATGTAAGAGCCTAGAAGGCAAATTCAAAACACAAGAACCCAGTAGGTCAATTGCCACACCCTGGCAATTACGGCAATTAGAGGATAAAATAAAGACAGTTCACTTGGAGCCACATGAAGCTTTTCTGCATCCAAAAACACCAGCAGTGTTTTATTTAAAAAAAAATAAACATGCTCACTTTGAATGAGATTAACATTCACACAAGGTGACATTTGCCATGATTAGGTGAACCAGAAACACATTTTGCCCCAACAGTATAGAAGGGTGTGTATAATCCTCATAGAGGCAATGAGACTCACAGCTCCTAAATGCCTGCATAGACATTCTCAGTGACCTGTCTTAAGCTTCTGCTGGTGTTGAGTTGATCTTTGGTTCTCCCTTCTATTAGTTCATCATTTTCTGGTTTAGCTTCTCTCTCAGACATATTTAAAATACATCCTGTCAATTATTTATTGTTTTTTACATTTTCTCCCAGTAGACTTCCTAGACTTTAGCCAGATGGGGCCCCTTGTCTTACCCTTGGCTCTGCTCACTGTCAAGAGAATAAAAGCCTCCCCTGTTCTCTTTGGACAGGTTTCCAGCACTTGCAGGATGGTTCATCTGGAAGGAACATTTCCTATTTTTTTCATGATGCAACAGACACCATAGATAGAGACGCAAGTATCTTCACTGCTGGAGAACCACAGTTTAGAAAATGCTCTCTACACCACCCTTTTAAACCAAGACAGAAGACAGAGCTTGGACACTCTTACCACCCCACCATCCTTGACCTCTCAAGAAGTCTTTAAGTCTTTCTTTCAGAGGACCACACAGCCAGAAAAAAAGAGACCTCTGGCAGTCTCTAGTCCAGCACCCTGCCAAATCACAGAATCATTAGTATTGGAAGAGACTTCTGGAGATCCAGTCCAACTCCCAGATCAGTTCATTAGCACCTTCTCCAGTCCAGAGTGAACTGTCCTCTGAGGATCATAGAATCATAGAACAGTTTGGGCTGGAAAGGACCTTAAGATCATCCAGTTCCAAACCCCCTGCCATGGACAGGGACACCTCACACTAGAACATGTTGCCCAAGGCTCTGTCCTTGGACACTTCCAGGGATGGAGCATTTACCACTTCTCTAGGCAACCTGTGCCAGCACCTCACCACCCTCACAGGGAAGAACTTCTGCCTTATATCTAACCTGAACTTCCCCTGTTTCAGTTTAAAACTATCACCCCTTGTCCTATTTCTACAGCCCCTGATGAAGAGTCCCTCTCCAGCATCATTGTAGCCCCCTTTAGATATTGGAAGGCTGCTCTGAGGTCTCCACGCAGCTTCTCTTCTCCAGGCTGAACAGCCCCAATGTTCTCAGCCTGTCTCCATTTGGGAGGTGCTCCAGCCCCTCATCATCCTCGTGGCCTCCTCTGGACTTCCTCCAATAGCTCCATGTCCTTCTTGTGTTGAGGACACCAGAACTACACACAGTGCTTAAAGTGGGGTCTCACGAGAGCAGAGTAGAGGGGCAGGATCACCTCCCTTGACCTGCTGGTCACACTTCTATCGATGTAGCCCAGGACACGGTTGGTTTCTGGGCTCAAGCACACACTGAAGCCGGCTGATGTTCAGTTTCTCATTGACCAGCACCCGCAAGTCCTTCTCTGCAGGGCTGCTCTGAATCTCTTCTCCGCCCAACCTGTAGCTCTGCCTGGGATAGAGATGATGGGGTCATTGGTCCCTGTTGAACTCTGACCATCCTCCCAGGCCCTTGCTGAGCAATCACCTGGACCTATGGTGTAACCTTAATCACAAAAAATATTAGAGAAGCGGGCAGGGAGGGGACTGTGCTCACTTGGGTTGTCCTTTGGGCCCTGCTCACCAATGGGTCTCTCTAGACAGCTAGGTTCTCCACAAAAGGCAGTGCATGAGGTTGCCCACAGTGAATGCACAGACAGGCACTTAGAAAAAAAATCTTGCACTAATAACTTAAGGTTCTTCTTCCTCCATCCTGATCTTTTCCATCTCTCACATGGAGGAAATTCTGCATCTGAGAGGAACTCAGGACTGCACAGGACCTAACAGCCTTTAATGCCCCTGTGTACTATGCTAGAAGGGACACATGTACCTACCTAGTGGCTGCTACTGATGGAAAACCAGCCTCCGTTGTAAACACACACTGGATGGAACATCCAACTTTCCTTTTCCTGGAAAGCAATTGTCTTGCCCCAAGTATAAATACATTCTTGAGAAATACATAAATACATAACTTAAAACCTGCTTTGGCACAAGCAGGACTCTCAAGGAAAGAAAACCACACTGCAACCCCAAGGGAGAGCTTATATGTTCACGCAGTTCCATCTGCTTCCCTTGGTCAAGCCTTGTGTCCCCTGCATGAGTGCGATGAGAGCCAGCAGCTGTAGCTGGGTTTTGAGGCTGCATCACTATTCTCCACAGGTCTGTAGTGTTTATGGGTTCCTCATCACATTTAATGCTATCACGTTGGCTTTCAAGCAAAGCCCAGTTCACAGAAAGCATCAAGTGGTGTGCCTTGAGCAACGTGTTTTTCCTGGCAATGTTATGACTGCTGCGGTGGCCCTGTCCTCCACTAGACATGACAATGACTCCTTGCTGATCCTACCTCTCCCATGGGATGGAGTTATTTGCAGTGGGCTTCAGGGCCCACATGCTACAGCATGCGGATGGGAGAAACCTTTCCAGAAAAGCAGCCTTGGCCTCATTTGGACAGGGCAGTTGCCGAGACTGGAATTCTCCCTCCGATGGATTCTGATGTATTTAGCACCCAAATAACTGTTGCCTCTATCAAAAATAGCAGTTCCCAAGGCTGGGCATGTCAGCCCATGGGGTCAGGGGTAGTCCTGCCTTGGGCCAGCCTGCAGCAATGCTGAGCAGAGCTCACTCAGGTCGCTCTCATCATTCTCCTCTGGCTCACTGCAGGAGTTGGAGGGGTTGCTGCTGGGCAAGCTGTGGCCAAAGCCTGTCCTCATTGATGCTTGTCCCTTCAGGTCTGTGTTCAGTGCTGCCGCGTCCCGGAGGCACACACCACCTGCACAGGCAGGAGGTCTCCAGTAGTTTGGCTGGGAGTAATTAATCTGGCTGAAAACCTGTCCTAGCAGGGATTTCTGGAGGGTTGTCTGCAGGCTTTCACAAATCCTCTGCTTCGTGCTCAGCTGGGTATAATGCAAATCCAACTGCAGGACCACGTCTGCCTGGAAGCGGAGAGCAAATGTCACAACATGAATCGGAGACTAAGACCTGAAGCAGAGCTTTTTCACTGCTGCTGCTACTGTCAACAGAAATGCCAAACTTGGCTGGCTGGTCTGCAGGCTCACAGCCCCATGCTGTGGCGTGATGGAGCAATGCCTCTGCCAGACAAAATGAGCTGTTCCATACACTCATGATGTTTGTGGGCCTCGGCCACAGTTTCTTGATTTCAGAACTTCTCCTGAAATCAGGCCACCTCACTGGAGGTCTCATCAGCCCTGTCAGGGCACTGTCACTGCCAGCATCACCTCTGAGATGCTGGCACAGGGAGCAGGATTGGATGGGGACTGCACCCATGCAAAGAATGGCACATCTGTCCTGGCCATGGCACAGGACTGCTGCACATGCGAGAGGAAAGCATGCAAGGGAAGGGACAGAACCACTTAAACACACATTGCACAGTAAAAGCCAATGGTTTTAAACAGCAGCGCTCCACAGGGATCTGTTTGCAGTCTAGGACTATTTTAGATTTTTATACAAGATGGTGAAGAAGTCAGAAAATAACCATATTCATGGCAGTCAAACCCCTGACCATGAACCCAAGCATGGGGCTGTGCCTGAGATGCCTGGCTGTACAAAGCAAGGAGATGTATAATAGAGCAAGAAGATTTTGGCAGGCAATGCATGGTCCAGGTCTCCTGTCTGCACTTAAAAGCAATGCGGAATGCTTGGGAAGGGTTCAGAAAAGAGCTCCAGGAACAATCAAGGACTGAAAGAGCTGCCATATGCTGAGGCATGTCACGCACTCAGAAAATGGAGCTCGTTGTAGGCAGATCCAGGCAGCAGCTCAAGAGCAATGTTTGGTGGGAGTCTGCATGGAGCAGAGCAGATGAGCAGCTGGCAAGATCCACTGCCTGGGTGTTAGAGGAAAAAAGAAATCAGATGAGAAACAAGGCGCTCACTGATATTTGGGGAGAGAGAATCTGCTGGAAGAAACAAGCCAGGGGTCTAGCAATTCTGCCTCTCTCATGGGCTTTAAATAGTTTGAGGGTTTGCTGAAGTGTGCCAAACAGGCATAGCTTGGGTCAGGTGTAGTAGTGTAACCCCAATAGCAGGAGATAATCCCTCCCGCTGCTTGAGATCCTGGCCAGCCCGTGAACAAGCACACAGCCTAGTGAGACATCCTTCGTCCAAAAGATTTGGATCTGATCTCCCATGGTTGATACAGATAAATTACAGCCTCTGTGGCTGGGCAGCACAGAAAAACAGACTGAACCAAGGGAAAGAAGATGGGTTTTGTGCCTTGAAGATGTACAAGCCCCTGTAACATCAATCTGGATGTTGCGCTAACAGAGGCATGCCAGGCATCGTCCACACAGAATCACGAGACACACAGAGGGACATATCCAGCTCGAGTTAGTGGGTATGGGGAGTACAAGCTATGTGAGGGTGCAGGAGAACCACAGATATTTGCACTTGGCAAATATCTACCTGAATTTTCTGTAGTCCACCGAGCTGGAAGACAGAGTCCAGCTCCTCCTGCTTGTACACAGAGGTGAGCAGGAACTTGACTTGGTCCCAGTGGCTCTCTTTTGGGATGACCACACTGTCCATCTCCTGCATCAGAAAAATAAGAAGAAACATAAGGAAGTTTCAGCATCAGCCTGCGCATGGAGGTGCAACTGCCCATCAAACATGCTGCTTCTCTGCACAGAGCAGTGCCCAGGGCTGGCCTGTGCCCTTGGCACTTTGGCTGGTGGAAATGTTGCATACCCTCATGGAAGTACTACACAGTGCAAGCAACAGAAATGCAGAAGCTTTTACACACTCGCCTAGTGCATATCAGTGGGAAGACCTAGCTAACTATCCCATGAGTGCATTTACTGGGAAAATTGTGGTAATAATAGGATTTCCAACAGAGCAGATAGCAGCAACAGCCAGTCTCATAACTGGAGGAGGGAGAAAGTTTTCCAAACACAGAGCTGGAGGAAGCAGAGTTGTACTGGGTGCAGAGTTAGCCCCCCACCAGCTACAGAACTGACGATTCTTGAGGAATTACTCAAAATCATCCAAAACAGCCCCATCTCTATGGGATATTCTTCAGAAATCATCATATATTAGAGCTGCTAATAGCACAAGAAGGGACAAGGAATAAGGGCCTTATGAAATAGCATCTGGATTTGAGCCCTCCAGGATGGGCGACAGCCCACAATCCACCAGCCCTTTCCATTGAGAAGGCGCTTACCTCTGCCAGCTGGCTCTGGCAACTAACACGGTGTGATCCTGCTGCCCTGGCTTGGCCAGCACTAGGATGCCCTGGCCTGGCTTTGGGCGCGGGAGCTGAGCAGCCCAGTCAGGCTCCCTGCAGCCACAGACAAAGCCAGTGGTGTGCAAGGAGGGTTCTACCCTTGCAAAATGTTCTTGCTGTTGGCAGAAGTTGCACTGGGCATGATGATGAAGGAGGCTGTTAGAACACTGCAGAGAGGTAGAGGTTAGAGAAGCCTTTACAGACCTTCCCTGAACTGCTGCCTGCAAGTAGTCAAAGCACTTTTTTTTGGCCAGGAGAATATTGGGGGTAGAAAGTAAAATGTTGGATCCCAAATGCTGGCTGGGATCTGCAGCCTCAGGGTCACTCCCTGCTTGCAAGGCTATCTGAATAGGAGTAAACACTGTTGCTGATCAAAATTGCACTGGAGGCAGTCTGAAGACATACTTTTTATCGCTGTAGAAAGCAAAGCCAAATCCTATCTCTGCACTTGGCAACTCATTAATGGAAATATAAACTGGAGGGAGCTTAGGGAAGATCAGGGCAGTAAAAGGAGCTGTCAGAAAGGGAGACAGGTGTGCCAATGAGAGGAGAACACGGCTCACATGGGGATGGAGCAGCTCTCCTTGCCAGGGAGCCTCGTTGTTACTACCACCAGCCTGAACTGTGCCTGAAATGGGAGCACAGCAACTTCTGCAAGTGACCACTGCCCTCTCCTGGTCCCTCCTTCCCTGCCTCATTGCATCAGGTACCCGGCTCCCAGCTACCTTGATGCCATCACTGCTATGCTGAGCCCAACAGCCAGGTTAAACTAAACCTGGAGACCAGCGAGAGGCACAAACCGGATCAGCCTGGATACCACTACTGCAGCGCTTTGGCAGGAGGACTGCAAAAAGGAGCAGAGTGGCCCTGCTGCATCCAGTCAGATCCATTCTCCAGCACATGCTTCAGGAGAGATGGGATGTGCATGCTGCCAGCCCTGCCCAGCTGAACCTACCATGCCAGCCTCCTGCCATGGAAAAATCAGTGACTTTCTGAGTCAAAGGTGGTATCTGTGCTTTCAATAGCTTTTATGGACTCCTGTGAAGGTGATAAAGTTATTTTTGAGCCCTGTTGGACTTGTAATACCCATGACAACCTAATCACTAAAAGGAGAATCATCCACGGCCAGAAGCCCTCCTCATAGTCACCCCACCACTATTGCCTTCTCATCCCCATACATGATGATGCTGTAAGCACCCTCCTCCAGCCTTCTCTGTAGCTGCCTCATTGCTATTTCCCATGTGTCTGTTGATTTCTGCAGTCCTGCCTCCCCCTGGAGCATCCGCACTCTTGTGACCTCTCCAAGAGTGGCTCCTCCAGGGATCCATCAGCCTGTCAGAGCTGGGGTTGGGCCACATTCCCTTTTTCTCCTTGCAGGCACAGATGTGCTCCGGATCAGATGCCCCCTAAGTGCCTGCTTTTGCAATTGTGTTAGCAGCCTTTGCAGATACTGTGAATCTTCAGTGATTAACATTGCAGTTGGGTTTCAACTTGCAGGACATGGATACTCAGATCTGTGCTAATGCACTGGACTCACTCTTCTCCCAGACACCCCTTTATTGCTCTGCAACTTTGAGCTCCTTGAGGCTGGACCACCCTTTTTTTTCCAGACTAAGAAATGCCTGGTGTATTACAGACATGACTAGCGCAGGCAGAACAATATCTCATGCCAAGTTAAAGCACAAAAAGCCAAGCAGTGCCAGGAAGTTTAGGTGCTCTGAACCACAGAACCTCCCTGAGTGGGATGACACCAGTCCCAAGCACTGAACATCCAAAATACCCTGACCCATTTATCAGTGGGCTCATACTTTCTTTTGCTTTCCCTTTGCTGCTGATGTACTTGTAGAAGCCGTTCTTATTGCCACCAGATTCAGTTCCAGATGGGCTTTGGCTTCCCTAACCCCATGCCTATGTGCTTGAGCCACATCTCTATAGTCCTCCTCCACCACCTGCCCTTGCTTCCACCTCTTGCATACCTCCTTTTCACGTGTGTGCTCAGTTAGAGCCCCCAGCAAGGCCGCATAGGCCTCCTGCTACCTTTGCTTGACTCCTTGTTCATCAGGTGGACTTTCAAAAGTTCACCAGCTCTCCTTGGCATCTTGCCTCTGGAGGGCCACGTCCCATAGAAACACCTTCAGGACATTCACCTGGGCAAGGAGCAACCTAATCTCGAGGGGTCAATTAAAGCCCTGACGTGAGATTCAAAGCAGGTGCCAGCAACTCATTATCCACAAGTATCTGCCCTCTCCCATATTCCCAGACTCAATAGCCTCCCATGCCAATGACTTCCACAGTCTAATTTCAGCCCATGCAGGTAAGTCTTCTCTTCCATTAGTCTCCTTTATCATCTCTGGCTGTGTAGGAGTTAGGAAATGGAGAAAAGGATTTCCTAAATTAATTAATTAGCCAATTCATAATTATTTATAAACATTTCCCCATGGTGGAATGTGTTCTTTAATGAAGAGCATGCACAGGAACTGGCAAGGCCAGAGTTTTGGCTGGCCCAGAGTCTCACATATTCTAAATAAACTGGGGGAAGCATGAGTGGAAAGGCCATTAGGTCAAACAGCTCCAGATCAAGTGACTTAAAAATGAGGAGATTCAAAATAAAAGTTTAAAAAACAAGCATTTAAACAGTACAGAGCAAAGAAATGGGAACATCTTGGCTCAGCATCATTCCTTTGTATGTATGTCCTAGAGCAGCCTCTCTCTCTGAAGACAGTGCTTGTCAAGTAAAAATGCAAGCCAGGCAAGACAGAGAATGGGATAGAACACTGCCACTGGGCAACTAAAGAAAATGCATCAATTCTGTAAAATATCATCATTATCTCTGACAAGCCCTACAGCAAGCCCAGGCTCTCTGCTTAACTCACTTTGAAAAGCAGAATGTGGCAAATGGTGGGAAAACTACAATTTCCTCAAACAAACAGCTCCCTGGGTTCATTGCCAGGGATTACAACATATATCTCAGATCTAGCCTGTTTTCTTTGCCTTCAGCCTCCAGCTCCTGCTCTCAGCCTTGCAAGTGTGGCTCAGACCCCCACTTCCCCTTAGCATCTCCGAGAAGGACTGGCACAGTGAGGACGCAGACAGCTTGCCCAGATCCTGACAGAAGCCAGGTGCCCTCCTGCAGACGCCCGTGCATCTCCCTGTGGTCCTACCGGTGACAGTAGGTGCCCTTGCTGTGGACAGCTAATGTGGGGCAACTGAACTGCAATTCACTGCAATGAGAGGATGTGCTGCCACGTCAGCAGACACCACTGGAGGTCAGTGTGAGCCAGCATCGCTGTGCAGTAGGATAGGGATGGGGATCTGTGAGAGAATGAAGTGCAATCAAACTCCACTGCCCATTGTCTCAAAGATTAGTATGAGTGTCCATTGCCTGAGAGATGGGTGGGAGGAGCTGAGATAAGATTCTTCCATCCATTATCTCGAGGACTGGTATGAGGAATTGCTGCCCATTATCCCAAGAATTGTGTAGTACGTGACCCTAAGAACAGAGGTACTCCCCCCAGCTCATAATAAAAGGGGAAAAAGGTAACGGCCGGGAAAGACATCGCCATGAAGACACCCACCTCCAACAACTACTACGGACTCTTGAGGACACTCTGCTCCAATACTGACTACAGACCCCCGGGACACTGCTGGATCCACAGTAGTGACAACACTGGGGTTTTCTCCAGTCAGACCATGACAGGATCCTACTGCCATCGCTATATTGGGTCCCTTTTTGGTCTCACCAATCCCTCTTAGAATCATAGAATCAACAAGGCTGGAAAAGACCTTTAATATCATCAAGTCTAACCATTTCCCCAGCACTGCCAAGGCCACCACTAAACCACATCACTAAGGGCCTTGTCTACACAGTTTGTGAACACTTCCAGGGACGGTGACTCCAGCACTGCTCTGGGCAGCCTGTTTTGATGCCTGAACACCCTCTGGGGAAGAAATTGTTCCTAATCTCCATCTAAACCTCCCCTGGTGCAGCTTGAGGCCGTTTCCTCTGGTCCTATCACTCATTACTTTGGAGAAGAGACCAATCCCACATCACTACATCCTCTTTTCAGGCAGTTGTAGACAGCCATAAGGTCCCCCCTGAGCCTTCTCTCCAGACTAAACCCCCCAGGTCCCTCAGCTGTTCCTCATCACACTTGTGCTCCAGGCCCTGCACCAGCTCCGGTGCCCTTCTCTGGCCCCGCTCCAGCACCTCAATGTCTCTCTTGTAGTGAGGGACCCAGAACTGAGGACAGGATTTGAGGTGCAGCCTCACCAGTACTCAGCGCAGTGGGACAGTCACTGCCCTGGCCCTGCTGCCACACTGGTGCTGATACAGGCAAGAATGCTGTCGGCTTCTTTGGCGCCCGGGCCCAAGCTG